GGTATCAAACTCGACTCCCTCTCCCAGTAGCGATCCCCACTGGTGCGACTGGGGAAGCCCCAGGCTCAGCAGCAGCAGGAGCACAGGAGCTGGATTTGGGAACTTAGGATCCGGATCAAAAGCAAGAGGACAGATGGAGCCCTCCCTGGACACTGGCCATTGCAGAAAAGGAGCAAAGAAGGGGGCCAGAAACTCTCATGATCACTCACTTTATACTAAATATTATGTATCTCTTTATACTAAATATTATGTATCTGGGATGGAATACTATCGTTGGTCACCTGTCCTGTCTATTACCCCCCTGAGGTGCAACATTTTACTTTCTTGTGACCCCTCTTACTACCCGGCACCCCCAGCGTGGCACACAAGAGCCAGCAGTGGCCTTGGTCACTACAGGAATAAGTATCAGCAAGAGCCTTTCTGCATCCCAGTCCCAGGCAGTAACTGCAAACATCAGGTGTTATCACTGCCAGCAGCACACACTGTCTGCAAAACATGCTGCTGACTTCAGAAAGTGCAGCCTCTTAGAAGAGACTAAACTGGAAAGTAAAATTCACTAAACAGAATTGGGTTTTTAGCTGAACCCAGGACAGTACTTCACGTCTTTGTAGTCTTACCTAGACTGTTTATTTGTAATCTTTTTTTATATTCTGGGTCATTAAATGTGGTGCCAAGTGTGGGACACCGCTTTTGCCTTCTCTTCAGAGCCGACAGAAAGATTACGGCTCTTGAGGAGCTCATGCTTGAAGATGATGACCTCTCTTTCTAATAGGGCATTGAAGATAATGATATATAGGTACTGTAATCACATACCCTGGAAGATTCACAGAGTAGTTTTTCTGTACTGTTAACAAAACTTTCGATTATGGTGAGCCTTTTTTCTTTTTCAAAGATAGGTGGCAGTCAGACCAAAGGCAGAGCCTGACATAAAGCACTTCATTTATCAAAGGCTATTTTTATGCTTTATTTCAGTAAGTGTTGAAAAGTTATTTGAACCTTTTCAGATTTTTTATTTTTCACATTGAAGTCGATGTGTATTTAAAGATCAAAATGCTTTCACTGAATGAAGTTAAAAATTGAAAGTGTCGTGGATGAAGACATTAAAGAGTGTGTTACATGCCATGCAAAATAACAGTCTTTACATTCTGAAATGGAGAGCCGTACTAATTGGCACTAAACTTGTTCAGGAACCATCCAAGAGCAGTGGTAAGAAAAGTCAAATTCCCATGCAGTTGGATTTGGGTGGCATGCTGGCAGTCTTGGAGCAGAAGCAGCAAGCAGAGAAGTCAAAACAGTCTTCTAAACCTGTGGTGTTTTCAGGTATTTGTTATGATTAAATTTCCTTTCTTTCAACTTGAGTTCTTTTTAAGTATTCAAATGTTAAATGTAGCCTGATTTCTGATCGGTAATGAACTCTGGATACACAGGCAGCAGCACAGTTCACAAGATACAAGGGAAAATGAAGTTTCTTTAAAAAAAATAAAAAGCATGTCAGTCTGAATTCTTTGGAAGAAGACTTGGGGAGAGCAAAATCTTCAGGACAATTATTTGTAAAATAATACTTTATATAAATATGTGAGTTGACTGAAGTTTAGCTTTGATGAAAGTACTCAATTTGATGGAAGTTGTTGCTTTGTCTTAAATACATGTGTTACTTTTGTGATCTGAACCTGCAGGAAGGGGCTATGCAGTAACAAAGGCTCTCTTAAGCTCCTCTGGTGCTAGAAATCCTAGACCTATAACCTGAGTGAAGAAGCTCCTTTGTGAATACAGAGATTTATATATGTGAGAGTCAAATCAGCCCAAGCCAAGCAATGGGTTCTGCCAAGCCTGATAATTTTGAAATAATTGCTGTTAATGCTAGGTTTTGGTGATGGAGAGAATCTTTTAGATCTTGTTGATGT